TAATCTGTACGGTCAATACATAAAGCTAATTGAGAAAAATCTTCTACATACTATCTACTGCTAATGATTTGAAGAGATAGTTATATTAGTCATGTGACTAGGGATGGAAGAGAATGTCAGTCATCTGTGATAAATCATATGAATTATAAACCACGAAGTCACACCTGCGACTAATTTACAAAACCACTGCGACTTATTATTACTATTACGCTAGCGTAAGACTTGCGAACGGTATAAATCTAAAAAAAGAAGGTCGTAATCTTTGATAAAAATAATTTTAATTGATCTTGATGGCATTTATCTAACCAAAACACAATCACAGGTGAAAAGACAGTGACAAATGACAATCATTTCAACATATGGTTATGATTTAAAAGTAGCAATAATTTCCAACTCCTGTCATAAGTACACTCGGAGCAGCACAACATAACGTGACAATAAACCTAATGGGTATTTGCGAAAGACTTCACACAGGTCATTCTAATGTTGATGAACCTTTCCACAGTGTACATATCACATTATTGTTATTGCTTTTGTAAAACTTGATTACTTAAATGATCATACTGGTGATGTTAATTTATTGCTATACTCGTAGTTGAACTATAAAACAGAGAGCAACTTGAATACAATCAAAAAGTTTTATTATTTTCATTTAAGAAGTATTTGGTTTTAGTATTAATTATGTCATTTACTCATAGCTTTATCGATCCTAGTAGTTTTGAAATTAATATTTGTAAACGATTTCCAGTATCCACAATAAAAATCGTTCTTTTAAAAAAACAACATAAAGAACCTTATATAAAATATCAAAAAGGTTAACTGCAAGTTTAGTAAAAACTAAAGTTGCCAGGCATCGATACAAGCTTATTGATTATTGATTGATACATTCTTAAAATCTTATCAAGTCGATTATTAACTCGATAACAGTAATAAAGATGTAGATAATCCCATAACAATATGGATAATTAATTGGGTTGGCCGTGTAGTGTGTTATCTATTTATTTTTATTACTTGGGTAATAGTCAGAAGAAGTATATGCAGAGGTATCAGATTTTAGTATCGTCTTATTTGGGTTCCGTAGTCATCTGTCCGGCCGTTCGTGTGCAGCTTCTTTTAAAGATTAGTTGTACTGGTATGTTATTGTCAGTATTTAAAGGCTGTAACTTTTAATTTGCATATACGTTACTCGTTGCTGTCACGTTAGTTTTCACGTTTCTGTGTTGTGTACTTGTACTATTTCTGAAAATTATCACTTGACTAATTGTGAAGAGAAAAAAACCTATATTCGTGCCGTGGCTTGGGTATCCTAAGAGTCGACTAAGGGAGCTGTCTGGCCTTTTTATGCCTTTGTCCATCAGTGGACTATCAAAGGCTGTTGATGATGATAATAAAACGTGTATATATAGATACACACACACACACACATATATATATATATATATAGAGATCACTCTGAAATAATTCGTGAAATAAATAAAATGACATTTTTAACGTAACCTCTTCAAGATAACACTTAAAATCGGGATGATTTGTTCTCATCTCTTCCATAGCGTGGGTTATCATTAGACTGGTATACACATACACGAGCGATGAATATTACGGGTATCTGTTATTTAAGCCCAACTCATAAATGTACCTTCTTGAAAACTTTCGTTTAAAAATATAATATAAAGTCATTAGGAAAAAATACTCAGAATATTAGAATCCTGCATTGCGATGTGCGACGTGATAATTGTTTGCAAGCGCTGGATGAGGAATTAAACATCGCAAATGACTTAAATCTTTACTTACGTTTTCAACCTATTCATAGAACTTAAAGGAAAACTATTAATAATTTTAAATGTAATAACAATGAACTTGGTGGCGTTTAGCAAAACATTTTTGTAAGCGACTCGGTTAAAACGTGCAAGAATGTTAAAACAATAAGTATGGAATGGGTGCAATGTTGTTCAAAAAATTATAAACATGACTGTAATATGTAAAAGTGTCACTATTGGATCTTTAAATCAATAGTTAAAGAAAAATATTTGTACCCTTGTCTAGACGAATATAAGAAGAATACCATATTTTAATAATATTACAATCGAACTGAAGCTGAACTTAAAGGAGGCAAAGCCTGGAAGATGTACTGAACAACCAAACGGCACATTACACCGAAGAAGATTGGTCAAATATTGTGTGTTCAGACGAATCAAACTTTGAGCTAACTTAGATTACTGCAAATATGTCAAACATTGGAAAATAAATATAATTAAAAAATATAATAAAGTGATGATGGTTAACAGGTAGTTCCTAAAGTGTCTATTATCTAATTATATTCGGTTTTTGGAACTCCTGGTGATACCTTCGTGCGAAGTATAGGCGAAGAATTTAGGAAAGAGTGTGTGGTAGAAACCGTAAAACACGGTAAAGGAAGCGTAATGGTCTGGGGCTGCATGTGTGATGCAGGAGTTGGCGAAAGGTACGTCTGTGAGGGTCGAATTGACTCTACAAAATACATTGATGTTCTTAAATCGGCAGTATTATCCTCGTTTTCCAATCTTTTTGGTGATGACGCTTCATCCCATAAATCAACTGTGCTAGTTGATTTGGTATGGCGTGTTTTTGAGAAAATTGCATTAACCTCCTGGTATGTCCTGCTCAGTCATCAGAGCTAAACCCCACAGAATATTTATGAGAAATCCTAAAGCGCAAGATCAGGCACCACACGATAACAACAAAAGAAGAAGAATGGGACTGTATTATTCAAGAAGATACAGAGCATCGCCACCCCTTTAATTCCCCCCACCCCCCTCCCGACATCAAGGGTTCAGCAGAATCAGAATGAGCGGGATTGGTTGGGTCCGGTAACCTCAATAACTAAGCTATCAGCAATAAAAGAAATGCTTAGATTTTTTAATTAATTTGACAGCACGAATGGCTAATGGTTTAAGCGGTTGCCACGCCGCTTCCCACTAAGCTGAGTGTTGTGGGATCGATCCCCACATGGAACGACACTTTGTGTGATCCACATATTGTCATTCTGAGTCTAGATGTTCTGTGTGTCCGTTTCACGTATGTTTGTCCCAAGGCCCCGCGACAAAGGATATGTAAAAAAAATAGGTAATAATAGGTAAAATAGATTGTCTATGAGGGTACGACCTCATAGGTTGTTTTACATTTTTATATTTTCTTTCACTCTGGTCGAGTTGATCCATTTGTGACAAGACATGGCTATCCTAAGTAAAAATAAAATAGATATGGATACAAGGAGAATAAATATGTAGATAAAATATAATAGGATAGAAATAAGCTGTGTACCAACAGAATATTAGAGAGACATAATGAGTCTGGTAAATAAGTTGGTACAAAGGCCGGCCTTATCGCTAAAAGCAATTTCTTGGAGGCAATATTTGGATGGACAATGACGACGTTAAATAGATGATATCAACGATAGTTTTGGTGCGTTAAGCGCTGATAAAGAATTATAATTATTTTTTGTAAGAAATTAATAATAAAAAATGTGAAATAAATAAATAAAAATAATAAATATTGTAAATGTGCAAGCGTATCTGTCTGCTACGTCTTCACGCTTAAACGATGGAATTTGGTACAGAGATCGTCCGAGTCCTGAGTAAGGATGTAGTTTAGTTTTTATCCCAGAAAACATCCTTTAAGAAGTTTAAGAGGTAAAAAAGGAGGTGGAAGTTTGTATGGGGAATCAAAAACCGCTGAATCGATTTAGATGTTATTTGGTATGAAGATATTCTTTGATTCTTGAGGAAAGACATAAATAAGAAATTTACAAGAGCGAAGCCGCGGGCAAAACCTAATAAAATACATTTCTAAAAAAATGGATGTTACTACGAGACACTAATACGAATATTAGGCACTATTCACAATAACTATTTAATAAACGGTCTCTATTTTTTTTAAAGGTTTAAAGAACCGTCACTGGGGTGTCCAGGTGGGCCTGGGGATCGAACCCACAACACTCAGCGCAGTAGGAAATGGCGTGGTGACCGCTTAAACCACTACGCCATCCGTGCAGTTGATTCTAATATATCTTTTAATAGTATCGTTGTGAGCGGTACCTTATAAATCATCTAATAACATTTTTTTCATATTATCCTCCTCTTTACCCTCTTTATCCTCTTTACTCGATTTGCCAGACAGGATCCATAATGAACCGAAATACCTATACTTAACACTATGTGTAACTATGCGTAGAGTTTTGACTGTTAATGTCAACTCTTCTTGGGAATTTAATCTCTAGACAGTTCAAAGAAAGAAGAAAAATTGGTGTGAAGATGTATTATGAATCTCTGGACATGATTTGACACAAACTTCTGTTCCTCCAAACCGTTACTGTGACCGACATAAAAATGGTAAATATCGTTGAAGGACGGACGGAATATTATCTGTGTTCTCTGGTTTCTTTTTGGAAGTTGTAAACCAGATCCGTGTGGTGATGGATTAAGAATACAGAGTGTCACCACCCCTATTCATCCCGTGGGTGTCGTAAGAGGCGACTAAGGAAGCACACTACGCAGGACAACAGCACTGCAGAGAGAAGGAAAACTTGAAACAAAGCCTATACCAACCCGTCTGGCCAGCGTGGTATAGTAGGCCAAAACCTCCTTCCTAAGGAGAGGCCTATGTCCAGCAGTGGACTAGTATAGGCTGTTGATGTGATGTGATGATGTGATGCTCGTATTCCCAGAAGACACATTTAGGTTGAGTACAATCGATAAAAAGTGACGCAATGCTATATATCTTAAACTTAACTTAACTACTAACTAACTACTAACTTTTAGTTTGAATCAGATTTTTTTATGGGATTATCAGATGGGATGATCAGTATCGGTATCACTACTAACCAAAGGACACCTCTTATCAAAACCTAATAGTTACCAATGATTACAAGGCAATCTGTATTTAACACGGAGTTTAAGCCATGTATTTTGTATCTACTTACTATATTTTATACCAGAAACAAGTGTGTAACAATGTATACGCACCTTTAGTTTTGATTTATGCACCAAATCATTGTTCTGCAAGGAATCAAAAGCGTGCCAAATGCAATTTGTTACGTTCTTTAATAAGGCAGACATATTTACATTCCAACAGTTAAAATCACCATAAATAGGAATGTAATAAACGAGTTAGAATTTTTACATGAATTTAACACCCGAATATTTTCTAAATAAAAATAAAACACTTTTGAGTTAATCTTTAATTTACTTTTTAAAATAATAAATACACTACACTCCAAATTTGGATTTAAGAGCGCGCGACACTTTTTTAATGATAATTATCGAGAGACGAGACGCGTTCTGCCTCTGTGCGTTCAGAAACCAGACTGCTGAGTCTGAGGCAAAAGTGGTGGCGCGATAACAAGTCGAAGGAAATGGCTCACGCGGCACGGAACTAACATGCCTGGCAAAATTTACTTGTTTCCGATAATGTTAAGACAAATTGAATCCTACATTGACATAAAGACATTTAAAATTTTATCTGCATTATAAGTTATTATTTAAAAAAAAAGGTTTTATTACAAACTTTTTTTAAAATATAGTAAGAATTAATAATAGAACAACATCCTATTAGTCCTTCTTGCCAAGCAAAAGCCTACGTAAATAAAATATCATAATTATAATCAGCTTTACACTGATGCCGAGCGGTGCCTGGTAAAAAACGACGACTAAGTTTTTTAAGCGCAAGCTCCAGATTATGGGAGTAGATTATTACTACGATAATGTTGACGTATAAATGAAAGAAGAATACTGTTACATAAAACACTACAGACACTATTATGTATTAGTATATTTATTGAATAATTGTCAAAATATCTCTTATCCTTAGGTTTGTTTAAAAAAAGACAGAGCAAAAATAAAAGTCTTTTGGCTATAAAACAAATAAACACTAACCGGCTTCCTCGCTACTGGATGACCTTATGACTTTTACAATTCGCAATCGACGTCTCAAACTGCGCTTGAAGAAGCCGGATGTGTTCATTGCTCATTACGCACGTAAATGAGCGTACAGTCGCATTCAGAAACAATACACCAGTGACACTAGAATACGCGACTGGTAAGTCTAAAGTAGGTACCATAGTGTCAGTTCGATAGTGACATATCTACATCATCGTACCCGTGTGCCGATGATAAAAAAATGTTACAAAAAATAAATATTAGATACTCACATTCCTCTGTTGACTACCGGTTTTAGTATCAATTGTCAATTAAATTGATCCTTCTTATTTCAGATTCGATTCCTACACACCATCCCGACGCAAACCCCGGCGGGGTGACGATCCTAAATGGTTTTCACACGAAAAAAATAAGACCATCAATTTGACCAAAATATCAATAGGTTATGTTTTGAGTAGTAAAGAGGAATAAATTTACTTCAATAGCAGAATTTACATAATTAGTAGGTAAATAAAACTCCACTTAGCTTTTCCGTAATACAAATCTAGAGATATCCTTTGCATATCAACAGTCCATCTTGTACGCAACCTCCCTACAATATAATTACATTACTCATCATCCGACAAACAGCTCGCCTTCGGATGTTTTCACCATACGCAGAATGTAGACGACTGACTCACGAGGACATACAACTCATTTAAATATACGTAACCAAAGATGCATTGATCTTGAGTGGGCAGCAGGATTAATATCGAAAATGTTTATTTTTTGAACAGTTAGATGTTTAAGCGAGTGTTTATTGGGCAATCTAAATTTAGGTCTTTTTCCTTTCTAGTCGTTTAATATTGTGATTATTTTAGATATTTTGATCTGTCATGTAGATTACAAAATATATCATACAAGCTTTTGCCTGTAGCCTCACCGGAGTGGTTGTCGATTATTGCGGTAAAAAGTGAAGTAGTAGCCTATGTCCATCCTCAACAATCAAAGTATCTCCATGCCAAATTTTATTAAAATTGGGTTAGCAGTTTAGCCGTTAAAGCGATACAGACCTCTGTCTGTATCGCTCTATATTACTTGAGATTTCTCTGATTGAAAAAAATAAGGTGCTTACGATCACATTCTTTTCAATCTAAATAAAAAGATCTATTAAAAAAATTAAACGTCATGTTAACATAAAGATAGAGTTAAGTTCTTCTTCTTAATTTGTATAAGCAAAGCAATTGTATTTATTAGGATACCTACCCATGTTATTGAACGAAAGCTAGAGCTAGGCTGTAAATCCACTACCTTTAGCTACAAGTTCAAACAATGGTTCACACAAAGTGTTGTCCCATATGGGGATCGAGTCCACAACACTCAGCGCAATAGGAAGCGGCGAGGTGACCGCTTAAACTACAAAGTACTACTACTACTACTACTTAAAGGCATCCGTGCGGTTTAAAAGGTTAAATGGTATAAAAGAATGGCTGGATGGCTCAAAGTGATCAAAATGTTTTACCTTACTACGTAGGAAGGATGTCAATGACATAAAAAGTATTTAAGCACTCTTATGGTGAAACGTACTTATCATAACGGAGACTGAAGTACTTTAAAAAATGTATTACAGTTATACACGTAGGTAGTTAAAAAACGTACAGTATGAGTTGACTGCTTGTAAATCTTTAAGACAATCTGTAAGGAGTGTAGACTCATGTGAGTTACACACCATAACATATTATTTATAATATGTTTTATAATATTGTGTTATAGTATTGTAGTTGTATTTTATAATATTATTTATAAAAGACAACTCAAACACTAGGAATATATTTAGACTCAGAACAACAATTTGTGGACCACACAAAGTGTTGTCCAATGTCCGGACCGAACCCACAACACTCAGCGCTGTAGGAAGCAGCCAGGCATCCTGCTTAAACCACTACGCCATCCGCGCAGTCTATGACAATGATGGTAGTGTAAAGAAGCACCGGGTTATGATTTACGTTTATTTGACCATACCATTAACAAATATTATCTCAACTGTAATTATTATTATACATAAATCACATATTTAAATTTTATGCAAATTTTTATTTACAACTTTATGCACTTATGTACATCGGCCCACTTAATGCCCTGGGCATTCTCGACCAGCCAACCTTTCGGTGGTGTGTAGAAATCTTGTAAGGTTACAGGTATAGAGATTACAATTGTAATCAATGGCTCTAACGTTTTTTATCTATAAAATATAACACTAACATAAACTTATATTTACACACATACATACAAATAAATACACATAAATAGTAATATTAACGTAATAAGTAAATAAGTTAACATAATATTGTATTTCGTTATAATAATATATTGAAGAACTGGGGGCCATAGCCAGTTCAAGTTGCAGGTATTCGACCCTCACCATCATCAACCATCCCTAATAGTCCACTGCTGGACATAGGCCTCTCCTTAGAAAGGAGGTTTTGGTCTACTATACCATGCTAGGAAAAATGGTTTGTGACGGTTTCAAGTTTTCCTTTCCTTTGCAGTGCGTTTTTAGCGTTCCTTTCCTGCTTAGTTTTTCTCAGTCGGCTGTTACGACACCCACGGGATGAATAGGGGTGGTAACACTCCGTATTCTTAATCCGTCACCACACGGATTCGGCACTAATATCCCTATATTTCGTTCTTATCTTACCTTTCCTTTCAATGATTATGTACAATAAAAGTTTTCCATCTTTGATGTCACAGGTGCCTGGTTGGCAAAAGGTTTGACCGTATTACGTGAATAGCACCAAAATAGGTTTAGTTTTGTAGCATGATTGTTAGATAGGTACACCTCGACCTTTCGGCTTTGGGGATAGGTAGGTACGCTTGTGAGTGTATTAGAGTAAGTTAAGTAGTAACCCATACAAAAATCATACTATCTACCGAAAATCGTATTCACCTGATCTGATTATCCTAAGGAAAACAAATGCTATCTTTTTCGAGGCCGGCGATTTCCAAACAAGTTACAGGAACCATCTCTGTGATGCCCATTTGCGGTAAGTCAGATATGCAAATAACTTCTATCGGAAGCAAATCAAGGCTATGCCTATAAGTGGAAACGATCAGTTCAAGATTTTCAATTAACACCGCTTCTAAAATATAGCTTTTATTTATGGCATTCATTTTATTCTATTAATTATTTATTTACATAACTTTATGCGCTCTTGTACATCGGCGGACTTAATGCCCAGGGCATTCTCTTCCAGTCAATGTTTAGGTGGTGTAAAAAAAAAATCCTTCCGACAGAGACGGTTGACGCTAGACGCGATCGAACGCGTCCGCTCTTTGTCGGAAGAGGTTGTCGGGGGGGAGTGGCGTTGGCCGTCAGTCTTGATATAGTCAACGCCTTTAACTTTATTCCGTGGTGGGTGATTAGGGAGGCACTGGTGTATCGTCAGTTGCCACCCTACCTGCGAGACATCATCGGGGTCTGTCTCCGCGACAGATCCATCTCGTATATGGGTCGGGCGGCGAAGAATGTCGAAGGGAAGTCACATGCGGGGTTCCCAGGGATCGGTCTTAGGACCACTTCTGTGGAATCTCGCGTATGATGCCGTTCTGAGGACCAGCTTTCCCCAGGATTGAGCGTCAGTTGTCAGGCCAACACATAAAATACCTTGGCCTCACCCTAGACAGCCGCTGGAGCTTCGAGGAGCATATCGAGTGGATGATTCCTCGAGTTCCTGGGGTGGCGGGCTCCCTACAGAGGCTGTTGCCTAACCTAGGGGGTCCGCGGGAGGAACGCTTACCGACAGGCACTGGTGCAGTGGCGCGTGCGGCTGGAACAGGCACAGAATGCACGCCAACGCGCTGTCGGTGCTGTTCTGCCTAACCTCGAAGCTTGGGTAGGTAGGGAGGGAGGTCTCGTCACCTATCGACTGACACAGGTACTCACTGGGCATGGTTGCTTCGGTGAGTACCTGAATCGTATCGGACGCGAAGAGACGGCACAATACCAGCACTGCGCAGCCGACTGGGACTCCGTCCAGCACACGCTGGCAGACTGCCCTGCGTGGGCGTCTTAACGCGAAGTCCTGGTCGACCAAATCGGTAGAGACCTGTCTCCGCCAGCCATCATTGCTGCCATGCTGGCGGGTGAGGAGGAATGGGGGGCAGTGCTCTCTTTCTGTGAAGCTGTATTGCTCCAATAAGAG